AGAACGTGCATAAAATACTGGAAACAGAAATCAAAAAACACTCAAGAAATTGTTTATTACTTATGAATAATAAAACAAGAACATGATTAATCAAACCAGAACATACTATAATATGTAAAGAAAAATTAAATAAAAATAAAAACGTATTAATAAAGAAATTGCTGAAGATTTTTTCGCGTATATTTACAGAAGTGCCTTTGAATTTGCCTTTGTAAGTACCAATACCTCAAAGTGTTCATCGCTTAAAGCTTTTCTTTTAGGTGTATCAATCATAGTTGCAAAAGAGAAAAGTCTTTCAACTGGTGCTGACGAAGGTAAGCATGTGTTATATTTTGTTGACACCCTTTTTAAGGTTGGGTATTCATTTAGGATTTGTAAATTGGTTCTTTTGTCCTCCAAATATCGTAACAATTCTAACTGTATTTTTGAAGTTTTATTATTTACGCTGGAACCCTGTTCCTGTTCATTATATGTAATAGTACAGCTATTGTCCACTTGCTGGTCTCGGAAATCGCTAAAATCAAAAAAGTCATCTAAATTTTGATCTCCACTTTCGTCTGATTCATTGCAACTTTCCAACTCCATTTGTTTTTTTGCAACAGTTATAATGCATTTTTTGATATCTTCTAAAGTTTTTTTGGGATTATGTACTACATTGTACCACTTTAGCTTAAATTTAGGAAGAAGAACTGCAGCTATAATTGGATCTTCCCATTCCAAATTTAAAATGTTAGCAAAACGAGTATTTAAGCTTTTAATGCACATTTTTGCTAGATGTTCTCCTCCATATTTCAATTTTGTTTGGGCAAGAAGTTTCTCATATTTATTAATTAATGAAATTAAGCTGGGTAACAAATATCCAAAAGATACATTCTCTTCACCTTGTAACAAATCTAACGTTAAAGCCAAAGGTTTCATAACTAAACAGTATTCCTCTAGGTATAATAGTTCAGTTTCCTTAAAAGGTTCTAATGTTAGATTTTGTAGCAAAATTGGAAGTTTTTCTTTTGCTTGAAGAATCTGTGAAACTGCATCAAAAGTGGAGTTCCATCTAGTGGCCCCTGGAGAACTTAGAGTATGTCCTAAAATTTTAATTATAACTTCATTGCTTTTTGGTTTATTCGATTTTTTCCATAACTGAGCACATTTACTAAATGCATTCTTTTCTCTTATGCGGATAATTGGAATGTTTATAACAGTATTTTTATAATCTGTTGTGGCTATTAAATTTAAAGTATGTGTGGCACATCGCATATGCTTGGGTAGCTGTATATCCTGGTCTTCTAACTCTTTGCCTTCATCAACCTCTAAATGTAAAATTTGCAATTCATTTTCTTCTTCGTCAATTTCCTCATCGTCGTCCTCTTCATTTTTCTCGCCGAATACTTTAAAAGCTTTAACGAAATTGCTACCGTTGTCTGTTACTGTCCCCACAATTTTATTTTCTGTTAAACCAAATTTTAAATTTATATCTTCTAGCATCTCAGCTATGCTTCTGTAGGAGTGAACACCTTTAAACCTAAAATAAACAATGGTTCTTAAATTTTTGTTTGTACATCGTCCATGTAGAATGTACAAGACTATGAATTTGTATAGTGGGATGGCCGAAAAATAAAGGCTGTAAGATGTATTTTCGTTACAAAGAAAAATTTTAAAGAAAGAAAATAGGGTAGGACCCTTTAAAAATATTTAAAAATATAGAGTGTTGCACAGAAACGGTGGATAAGCAATATACATATTTTCAATTGAACCTATATATTTTTACAATTTTGAATTCTCCTGCATTATCTGATTTCGGCATTTTGTTTAAATATTTGGGTTTAGGAGGTATAGATATTTGAAAATCACAATTTAGCTGTGTACCTGTTTTCACATGATAATTGTTGAAAACAGAAAATCGGCTGTCTTGTAAATATCTTTTTAAGTAAGTACTAGTCAATGCGATAAATAAAAAAGGGTGATAAAAATCAATAATTTCGGACAATAAACTATTATTAGTGCATTGAATAGTACTTCAAAAGGTAAGATAGGAACTTAAGCAACAATTTTCTTTATTTTTAATTTATTGCTTCCATGCAAAAAGGTGCTAGGTCCTAAATCTAACAAATAAATATATTGCTGAAATCGGAAATCAGATCATTGACGAAACTTTACAAATGTATAAAGTTTTCCGATTGAAAAATGTATCTTCGCTTTGCCTTATTTCTATAATTCTTTACAACATGAACATACTGTATATTTAAAAATAGTTGTAAGTTTAATAATTGTATAAATTAAAGTGTTTCATCTTTTTTCATAAAATCATTCCTTTTTGGATTTTGGCTACCCCGTAGAATGATTAAATACTTAATATTTGAGATTAGGTAGATCGTAGCGTTTTAACCAAAGAAATATCGAAAAATATACAATTATAATTTATTCACCTTCTACAGGCAAGTGCAGCTGATTTGCGGATAAAGTCCTCATCTAACCAGTGAACTGTAACTCCTAAGAAGCTTCTTTTTTTATTTGACCATATGTCAGCTGTAGTGCATACGTAATTAACACCCCTAATTTTATCTTTAATAATTTGCATATTTTCATCGTGCGAATCTATAATTCGTTTCATTACTGTCTTTCTTGTTGGTATTTTCAAATTTAATCCTTGGAAGATATCCTTAAAACTTTGGTGTTCTATTATAGATATTGCACTCATTGTGCTCACAACAAAATTTATTATTCTTTTTTCAAACAGAGATTGGCTTAAAACTGATTTGCTTCCCTCTTTGGCCATTCCAAAAATGTTTGGTTGAATAAGCTTAGCTTGTTTGGGTTCTCGACTTTCGAAATCTTGAGTTGCATTAAGTCTTTTTCTGGTCAAATCTTTCTTTGAAATTTTATACTTATTATACTCGTCAATTTTATTAGGATGAATCCTTTTTAAGTGTTTAAAAAAATTTGAAGAAGAACCTTTTATCCCTTTTATGGTTTTCTTCTGTGGAAGGCAGAGTTGACAATCAGCTGTAATGTTTTCGCCGTCGTTTTCTTTTATTTTAAAGTATTTTCCATCTAGTATGGAGGAACTACAAGCAAATTGCGAACTTTGTGGATCATCAGATTTTTCTCCCATGTTTTTAACAAGTCTTGTTAGAGGTTCGGATATCATACAAACTTGGTTTGGTTCATTTTTTCCTTTTAGTTTGAAGAAATTCATAAGAGAAGTTGTCTGAGATTTTCGAGGTATACTTTGGGCAGAATCGGAATCTGATAATTCTTCTTCTAGGTCTAGGTGATAATCGGGATCATCTGAACTTGTAGCAAATGGATCTTCTGGAGTGTCATCACTTTGTTCTGGATTGGAACTGGTAGATGCAACTGCAGGATCAATTGAATTCATGTTGCTCTATCTGGAATTAAAAAAAGCTTGTCTAACTTACCCCCTCATACTATCATTTTTTAAACGAAATGAGCTCTCCTATCGAAATTCGACAAAGCTAGTTTGAAAATATTTTAAGAATATCACAATTTGTCATGGCACACGAATTAAAATGAATGGTCTGAAAGGACATGGTATACAAATTTTAAACGTAACTCCATCGAAATTTTGTTATTAAATGATAAAAAAACAAAATACGGCATAAACATTATTGTTGTAGTTATTTAGTTGTATGAAATAGACGTTAGACGGACTAAAAAATTGTGAAATTCTGTGTGTTTTAATGTAATTTAGTTTTTTGTTTTCTTCAAATTCAAACACCACGCTGTCATTTAAAAACTTAACAAAACATCGTCAAGTATGTCTATGCCTATGCTACTAGAAAAAATTTAAATTTGCAATTTTGACTCCCTGTATCTCAATAAGTAATCATAATCATTTGCTAAATAAGAATTATTTACTCCGGTTTCGTAGTAACGCTGCGTGATCACGTAGTCTTCTAACAAATAATTATAACTTTTTTTACTTACCATCAGATAGATATTAGATAGATACCTATTTATTTAATAACTAATGCATTTTTTCTTTTTTTATTTCTAGAAATCTACTAATATTAGACTACTATTAATAATAAAACGCCAGTAAACTTTAGATATCTACTAATTAAATCGAAAATTAAATGCAACTTACCTTTAGAAAATTCTGTTATTCCGAATAGAAAAAACTATACGCATATAAACGCACTACACCTTTTACACAAATGAGCAATGGACTACTGAAATAATGAAAAACTTTTTCTATCATATCACCGTGTCTGTACTCGGTAGACAAGAATTTGCAGGATTTTTCCTGTAAAAACGAAACGTGTCACTGTCTTGAGCTTTCGATATTGAATTTCGCCAGCGTCGAATCAGCTGAGTTTTTAACTTTTAAACTTTAGGGGAAATAGGGACACACTAAACCAAAATTATAAATATTAAGAATGACTTTATTCTAATCCGAAAAAATACTTTATTCTAATTATACAGGGTTCTTCAAATTCTTCTAATTATACAGGGCTCTTGAAGATTTTTAACTGATTAGGTAAAAACAAAGCTCTATTGGCTATAATAATATATTATAACGATCACGATCACGAGTATGGAAAATGGGATTTATCATACTTCTCACTCAACGATCATACTATGTACACCTGGATTGAAGATAGGGCAGTGTGGTGCGTAAAGTAGTTCCATTATCGTCGAACATTAAAAATTTAAAAGCGTCCGGACATCAAAAAAAGTATCCGGATACCGGATACTTTCAAATTTGGTCACGGATACGGATACCGGATACAAAATTTAAAAATTATCCGGATACAGCCTTCGGATACACAAAAAGTATCCGGATACTGTATCCGGATACAGAAGTATCCGGATACTACCCAGCTCTGATACATTAACAGATTTTTGAAACATATATAAGGCGATTTCAATATATATACGAGGGATTTCAATATACACCACAAAATCAATGAAATTGTAAATGCTACAATAAGATTAATATTAAAAATTTTGATATTATAATGACCTACACATTTCATGAAATGGCAGATATGCATTTAACTTTTGGTAAGTTGGATCAGAGTAAATTATGAATTCAATAAACGGGAATATCGTAGGTTAATGTCAAGAAAATAGTGCATCAGCCGCAAGGCGTTATGCAGTAAAATACCCCAATCGAAATACATCCGATAGATGATTATTTCTGACCAATGATCGTCATTTACGGGAAACGGGTACATTCCAACCGCAAGTTGCTGGCAATAGTGGTCGTCCAGTAATAGATACAACTGATGAAGACATTTTAGAAATTATTGAAGAAGTCCATGGAACAAGTATAAGGGTATTAGCTGCTCAACTAAATGTTTCTCACGTAAGGGTTTGGAGGCGTCGGAAGGATCAGCTGCTTAAATCCTATCACTTAACAACGGTTCAAGAGTTATTGGTTGAAGATTAACCTAAAAGGATTGGATTTTCGAAATACTCGAAATGTTAATTTTATTAGAAATATTTTGTTTACCGACGAGGCTACCTTCAGTAAAAATGGAATAACAAACCATCATAACGAGCATATTTGGGCCGACGAAATCCTCACGTAAAAAAAACGACTCATTACCAAAGGACTTTCAAAGTTAATGTTTGGGTAGGAATTGTGGATAATAATCTAATACGCTCAGTATTTCTTCCCAACAATTTAAATGGTGATAATTATTTGCAATTCTTGGCAAATGATTTACAAGATTATTTGGAAGAAGTGAATATTACAATAAGGCAAAATATGTGGTTTCTATAAGATGGCGCTCCGCCCCATTACAGTAATGAAGTCGGGGAATACCTTTGCAGGCAGCATCCTGGTCGGTGGTGTAGGAGAGGTCGTGACGCACCTATTTCTTGGCCACCCAGAAGTCCAGATCTTAACTCCATGGATTTTTGCTTTTGGGGGTTCATGAAAGAGAAAGTGTATGAAAGTGTATTCTGTAACAATAAAGGACGAACAAAAATTGAAGGTTAGAATAATTGAAGCAAATCAATATAATTTTCCAGCGCATTCGGTTTTCCTTATTAAAACGATACCGAATGTGTATTGAAGAAAATGGGGGTCATTTGAACATTTATTGTAATATCGTATTTATAGAAGTTATAGACATTTTTTGTACTTGTTAATACATTTAAGCCATTTATTTAGTTGCACGTAATTTTTTAAAGGTTAATGAAAAGGGCCGTAGCTAAATAGAAACTGTTTTTTGAAAAAAGTGATGGGAGGCACAAAATTTTTAAAAATAATGTATTAAATTAATGATGCCACAAAATTTATTTGATTTGAATGTACTCAAAAGTTTGGGGGGAGGGTTAGGGCTGCACAGCCCCCTTAAAATTTTTCAATGCGCTTAGATTTTGTTTCTTTCGTATGAAAAATGCTTTCAGAAGAAGAAAATAACGTGTCCATTTTTATTACAAAATGTCAAGTAATTTAAGAGATTATGCAAAAAAACAATTTTTATTTTGTAACTTTAAAGGGCTGTAACTGTTTTTGTGTACACTTTTGTAATAAGGTAAGTTGGATTCAATCAATTTATTTTTGTCCCCGAAATGCGTGATTTACTTTATGACATACCTTTTTGAAACACCCTGTATAGCATACATATAAATATGGCAACTGTTGAGACATGACAACATAGAAATATAAATTTAGAGAAACCCTCGTAAAAGTGGAATTATTAAGTTGCATACATAATTTTTAATTTTTTTTTTTTAGCATTTTTTATAAACAATAAGAATTTGTATTTTTGTCAAAATAAGTTCGATATACGGCGAAAAGGACATACAATAAGAAAGTATTCAAACAGAGTGCAAACTAATCATCAACCCTTTAAACATCTCTTTCGGAATTTAGGCGCAAGTTGTCCTAAGTGTGACAACTTAGGCCGACCAAAAATCATTACGCGTAATCAAGAAGATAAGATAATGGTTCGCGTTGACGATGATTCTCAAGAAGTACACGACGTTTATCTTAGCGAGGTTTAGCGTTGGGATTCAGCAAAACTCCAGCCACCAGCCTCTTCAATAACTGAACCCACGATGACAATCTTCTTGAACATTGTGGATCATTTTTAGAGTTATAATACAAATTTTCAATTTAATTCAATTTTTAAATCTTTTACAGGTGGACGGTATACCTGGAGGTCCAAGTGGTGGACAAAAACCAAAATTGTTTTCTTTTAACGTAGTTTTCGAGCCTGCAGCAACTCAAGAAGATGTACTTCAATATTCTGGTATGAAGAGACTTATAGAAATGGCCCTAGAAGGTTTTAGGTGTACTTGCTTTTGTTATGGCCAGACTGGAAGCGGAAAAACGCATACGCTCACAGGACCACCAGGACTTGTAAGTAAAACAGTGGAACCTGCTTAATTCGAACTTCTCTAATTCGAAATCTTCTTTAATTCGAATTTTTATTCTAGCCCCTAGCATTTCCTATATAAGTAATGGTAAAAAGTCCTGAATAATTCGAATTATATTTTGGATACTATCGAAATAGTATCTTTTGTAGTTCTTTAGTTTTGGATACTTTCGATAGTATTGAGACTTGGTCCTTTTTGTCAGCCCTGAAGGATGCTCGAATAGACTCACGGTACACTACACTCATTAAAAATATTTATGAACAGGCCACATTCCACATCAAAATCAATGAAGACGAAAAAACTGAAAAAATGCGCCTTGATAAAGGTATTAGACAAGGTGATACTATTTCACCAAAGCTTTTTACCTTAGCATTGGAAAATGTATTCAAACAGCTTGACTGGGAGAAAAAAGGTCTAAACATTGATGGTGTACGTTTGAGTCATTTGAGGTTTGCGGATGACATAGTATTATTTAGTACAGATATCAAGGAACTGGAGCAAATGTTGAAGGAATTAAACCAGCAGAATTAAACCACAAAGAACAAAAATAATGAGTAATTTACAAACTAATCTTGTTATTGACAAAGTCAGTCTTGAAAATGTAGACCACTAGATATATATATATATATATATATATATATATATATATATATATAGATATATATATATATATATATATATATATATATATATATATATATATATATATCTTGGACATACCATTAAAATCGGCAAAGAAAATCAAATAGCCGAAATAAAAAGACGCATACAACTGTCTTGGGGAGCTTTCGGCAAATTAAGCTTTATTTTGAAGAATAAAGATATACCAATGTGTCTAAAACGTAGAGTTTATGACAAATGTATTTGCCTGTAACTACATATGGACTGGAGACCATGGCCTTCACAAAGAAAACCTTAGAGCAGCTCAGTACAACCCAAAGAGCAATGGAGAGGGCCATGCTAGGGATTAGTTTGAGAGACAGGATTCGAAATAACGTCATTCGTGAAAGAACAAAAATTACTGATGTCTCAGAACGTATTGCAAGGCTCAAGTGGCAATGGGTCGGACACGTTGCCCGAGATAATCCCGAAAAATGGACAAAGATTAACAAACTGGAGACCAAGAGAGAACAGGCGAGGAGTAGGCAGACCGCAGAAGAGGTGGACAGACGATATCAAACAAGTCGCGGGCAAGCAGTGGATAAGAATTGCCAAAAGTAGAAATCGATGGAAGCAAATGGAAGAGGCCTATGTCCAGCAGTGGACGAACACAGGCTGAAGAAGAAGAAGAAGAAGAAGATATTTTGGATAATACGAACTTTTTTACAAGCTAAATTGCCAATTTCATGCTGGAAATTTCCGCGAAAAGAGGCAGTATTCTTTCTTGTCCCATTACAAGACCATTATATGTACATTGTACCAGGATCTAGCACCCAAATTCTCCATCACCCGGCACGCGACTTCGGTTGAGGTGCGTTGGTGTTGCAATCTCCTCAATGACGTCAGTATATCACTGCGTTTTGAGCAAAGATGTCACATACAAAACTTCGACGTTATTGGAAAAAAAGGCAATTAAAGAAAGAGAAAAGGGGACGAAGAAAAAATTTGAGATTGCCAAGAACTTAGGAATCCTCCTAACACATTATCCACCTACTTAAAAAATATAGAAAAATTTCTCGAGAGTGAAAGTGAGTGCGGTAAAGATCAAAAAAGGTAAGTGAGCCAGAAAATTCAAATTTATACAGTTGTGTTTTAAAATGGTTCAAACAAGATTTCCGTGAGTAGTCGGTCGCTTTATAAGAAGCAAAGCAAAGCAATTCCATTTAAATCCATTTATAGAGAAAGTGGGGCCGTTAATCACCTAGAATGGAAAAAAAAATATAGATGATTTAGGATATAAATGAAAGATGTTGATAAGATTTAAAAATATAAAATATCACAGAGAAAACTAAGGAAAAAATAGTCACTCTCCTAAGTAATGCAAACATGGACGGATCAGAAACGCTGACTCTACTGATGATTAGCAAGTTAGCTCATCCGTGTTGTTTTAAGAACATCAAGTCAAAACCAGTGCAAGATGGATGACATGTGATCTTTTCGAGAAATGGCTGATATGAAATAAGACAAAACGTTCATAAAAGAAAAGAGAAAAGTTATTTTATTTATTGACAACTGTATGGCACACAACACTATCCCACTGATGGAAAATGTAAAAGTTAATTTTTTCTGGCAACATGACTTCAGTTCTCCAGCCTATGGACCAGGGCATCATAAAAAAACATTTTTACAGACTTTTTTGATTGAAAACATATTGACGGAATATTCCGAATCCCTTAAAATAAAGTTGAAGATATTACGAACCTTTCGAATGTGTAAGAAAACTTGGGACAAAGTAAAACCCGATATGATCAAACACTGTTTCAAAAAAACTGGTTTTGTAAAAAAGGAGGAGAACGTAGAAAACGCCAACGACACTTTAATAGAATACCTGCTCTGAGTTGACGGCTGGAAGGACGTCATTTCTGATCCTGCCATATCTAATGAAAATTTTATCAACGTGGATGAAGATATTGTAGTATGTGATGAGATATCCGATGCAGAGATCATCGCTGAAGTGCTTAAGAACAATGATGAAAAACAAGAGAGTGATGAAGACAGCGCGTCATTAGCTGCGGGGGAAGTACAGGCAGTACAGGGAAAAATCGACAATAATTGATCAATTTTTATAGTTTTCAAATGTTTATTTGGTATTCTTAGTCGAATTTTGTTGGCCCTTTTTCTCTGTTGACAATATTCGGACACGAATAGAAACCAAAAACTTTACAAGCGATGCAGAATGGTCAACTGTTTTGAATGGTCAAAACGATTTTTATCGTTTGCGGATGTTTTTGTAGATATATTTTTAATTAGAATTTTTGGATAATTCGAATGGCCACGTGCACAGACTGCATAATGAGAGACTTGTAAAACTAGTATGGGAGGAGATTCCCACAGGCAAAAGACCACTGGGACGTCCCAGAATGCGATGGAGAGATAACATCCAAGCAGATCTCAGGAAAATGAACATTCCATTTGACGCTAGGTAGATGGAAGACCGAACAAATTGGAAAAAAGTTGTACAGTCAGCCAAGTCCCACCAAAGGTTGTAGCGCTACGTGATGATAATGATGAATGTTTTTATCGGTCTTCTCAGGTTCGAATTATCCAAGATGTACTTTACTTAAGAAATATATATAACATTTATAAGATTGCCAGATTAACGAAGATTATTCTAAATTTGACCTTAGCAAATTCATTTTTTGTTTATTTTTCTGTTCACAGTTTGGTTTGAAAACAGCTCCTTATAGCGATCAACACGGATTGGTTTTTAGATCCTTTATGTACTTATTCCAATTAATTCAAGAAAAACCAGAGATGCATTTTATACTTAAAGCTAGCTTTTTAGAAATATACAACGAAAAGGTAAGTTAAATTTAAATTCAAATGAAAATATTTAATAATAAATGTTATAAAGGTGAAAAACTCGTATATACAGGCATAGAGAATGTCAAATCTTTGCGAATACTATTTTTCTTGATATGCCTATCAGTGAGGAATGTTTTTTGATTATTCTTTTCAATTACTGCTAATTTCACAAATTAACTAATTGCATTTTTATATAATTTATTCAACAAGGTACCTCAAATTAAAAAAAGAACATCAAATTCCGTCGATTTCAACTAAGAAAAAATTAACTTAAAACATGTTGATGTGTCTGAATTATGTAACAATAAAACACTGAAAACTTTGTTTTCAAACTTCCACAAAATTTATTTTAAATATTACCACTACAGCTGTTTCGGCTGATTGCCTTTCTCAAGTGATCTATTTTGGCTTGGGTTTACAAATTTATAGTCTCTAATGAAATAGGTTGAGGAGGGGAGAACTGTTTGTCTCAAGTTGGTCATTCAGAATTATATCTGTGTTTTTTAATTTGTTGATTTCCATAGATTCTTACAAAGATAGCTTAAGGCCTTTATTTTGAATGTGAAGAATTTTAAATTTGTCATTAAAAGAATGATTATGATCTAGAAGGTGAAGTGCATATGTCGAATCTGTTTTTCTATTCTTGAAAGCCCTTTTATGTTCTGCTATTCGTTTATCAAAGTTTCTACCAGTTTGGCCGATGTAAGTTTTTGGGCAGTCGCCACATTGAAGTTTGTACACACCACTATTTAATTGTTTTTTTATTTTGGCTCTTGTTATTTTTAATATATTTGCCTAGGTTGTTATTTGTTCGGAAAGCTGGTGTTATTCCTTTCTTTTTTATGTGTTTGGCAATTTTTGTTGTTATTTTGCCTGTATATGTAATCGAGCAGAAGGTACTGGGTTTTTTCTTTGGTGGTGGAAATACTAATTTCAGGGCTTTCTTGTGTAGTTTTTGATTTAACATTTTATTAATTCATCAATTATTTGTCTGAAATATTTTAAATGTACATAAACTTAAAATCACATTACTTTTGTAAACCACTCATGTGGTTTATAATGATTACTGCTTATTATTTTTTAGGTTATAGATTTACTAAACCCCGGTAGTGCCCGAAAGTCTTTAGCAGTACGGTGGAGTAAAAAAGCTAGAGGCTTTTTTGTAGAAAATCTTTTTTCTGTTGACTGTGAGGAATTTGACGATTTGTTGGCAGTATTGGAAGAGGGAATGAGAAATAGATCAGTTGGGCGACATAACATGAACGACTATTCCAGGTAAATATTAATTTCAAATGAAATATGAATCATCCGATGGACGATTGCATTTTGGGCTTTAATTATTGTTATAATAATATGATTTTCACACCATGTTTAGTAAAGTCTTACCAAAACCTTTACTTAAAAGTTGCGTCAGTTGAAAATAGGTTATATAAATTATAAATAAGATATACTTATAATAGATTACTGAGATTAGAACCGTAACGTAAACTGCCGCAACTTATGCAATGGAAGAAGGAGTATCATATTACAAATTGTTGTGATCACGATCAGACATGGCGTGGGCCGTCTTAAATCCCGTTATTTTATGTAACTTGTTTAACATTATTCTATACTTGTTTATGCTTCCCTGAGCTTGAGCTTTATGGCAGGATTGTACGTCGTTTTACAGCTAGACTGACTGAGCGACTCGCTTAGTCAGTCTTGCTGTAGCCATCGCTTGCTGAAGTCTTTACGCTAGAGTTTCGTCAAAAAATGCGTATATAGAGTGTTCAGGGAAAACTAGTTAATTGATATGAGGTTGAATGCTCGAATAAATGAACTTTGAAAATTAAGGCAAATATCGAGCACAAGTTTAATCAAATCTTGCCCAAAATACTTGGGCAAGATTTGATTAAACTTGTGCTTAAATTTACATTGTGTAAATTTTTCGTCTTATTAAGTCCTTATCACTTTCGTCAATACATTTTTTAGAACCGGCATCCTTACGATTCCTTCTTGACTTAATGGGATTTGATGTGATTCTTTTCACTGTGGTTAGAGGTATTTTCGTTAAATCAGATATTTCACTGGCAGCAGTATTAGCAGTGAGTCCTCTTGTAAGTAAAGAACTATACAGGGTGAGTCATGAGGAACTTTACATACTTCTACCATATGTAGAGTCCCTCAGGGAGCATATCATGTGGCCACTAAAAAGTGTCAACTCCTCTTCTTTATTAATTAACAGGGTGATTTGTGTAATTGATCATTTATTTTATTTTACTGTAAGGTTTATACGGCTCATTTGATTTTTTAAATTTTTGCATGATACAGTACACTACTATCAAGCATTCGACTGGTATTAGCTAAACTAAAAAATTCCAGGACTGGCCTTGGAAAAATTAATTTAGGGATCCGTATTAAATATTACACCCTGTATATATATTTTTTAAAATGCAATAAGTGATTTTCAAACTACATAAATAGCCAATGAAAACGACATATGCGACAATGTTGTCGCACTTTTATTAAATTTTTAGTGAACGATCAAATCTTACCAAAAATAGAACAACCATAATGAAGTATCAAATTATAAGGTAATTAATTTAAACAAATGTTATAAATTTCAAACTTTTAATTGAAATGATAAACTGAGTCACTGCACAACAAAAAACAGTAACTACTAACAATAACGAAGAACAATTTAAAAAAAACTAAAAATATGTACATAGTTATGATAAACCCATAAATTAGAACTGGAAAAGATACAATAATGGTAACAAAATAAAAATAATTCAAAATAGATTTTCGAAATGGAACCCTGCAGCCTGTACACATTTTTGTTGCCGAATTGTTAATTGACGTATTGAATTACGGATACTCTGGGGATCGTTTCTAATAGTATTACAACAATGTATAATTCTATCAATTAATTGTTGTCGGTTATTAATATTCACTGCGTAAACTAGTTGCTTCAATCGTCCCCAAATATGGTAATCAACGGGATTGAAATCAGGGGATCTTGAAGGCCACGAAATAGGACCTGCACGTCCTATCCACCTGTTGCCATAAACATTATTGAGATGTTGTCTCACTGCCAGTAAAAAGTGTGGGGGTGCCCCATCATGCTGAAAATACATCCCTCGGATAGCAACGTTCGCGTTGGCAAGCAAATTCGGCAAAATATTTTGTAGAGAGTTCAAATAGACCTGCCCTGTTAAAGGACCATCAAAAAAGTGAGGACCTACTAATTGGTTATTTATGACACCAATCCACACGTTAACCGAAAACCTTAACTGAGAACGACGTTCTCGAATAGCATGGGGATTTTCTTCTGCCCACACATGTGAATTTCGTGAATTATTTATCCCGTCTCTGGTAAATTGGGCTTCATCTGTAAATAGTGTCCTGTATAGCGTTGGTCGATTATTGTTAATCCATCTACAAAATTCCAACCTATCGATCTCATCTCCAGCATGTAGTCGCTGAACCATTTGAATGTGATATGGGTATAGATTATTTTTTTGTAAGACTCTACTTACTTTTGATTGAGTAACATTGAGTTCTCGACTTACTTGTCTAGTGCTTATTGTAGGGTTCATAGTAACGGCGTCCTAATGTCATCTTCCTGCGCTTCCTCTACATGTCGCTCTGTTGTTCCACTAGGAAAAGTGCCATTTTCTCGCAAATAATTAAAAACTGAATCCAAATGTTGGATGACTGGGATTCGACGATTAGGAAATCTCCTGCGATATTCTCTACTAGCAGCCCTACCATTCCATTACAGAATCCATAAACAAATATTATGTCTGCATATTCTGTAGTCGAAAACTGATGTGGCATTTTGAACGAAAGTAACAAAAGCGCTACCAAAACTAACACAATGTACTTAACGTAGATATGACAGAAGAAATATGTATTCTTGTACACATAAATAACAATTGATAATGACAATAATGACAATGGGTATAAAATATCAAGAAACGTCAAACGGTCAACGCCAACCTTCATTTTAAACTTTTTTAGATTTATTTTTATTTAGTACAGTTGATGCAATTTATTATTATTTGACATAAAATTTTAATCATTTACAATCAACAAAAACTAACACATACAAGAGGTTTGACTTTTTAATCAATTTAATTTATTATTTATCGAAAATAATGCCCCAATACGATCTATGAGTAAAAATTTAAAATTGAAAAACAATTGATTCTATCGTAGAGATAATACAAAGTGACAGTAAAGATGTTAATTTTCTACGTATTAGATTATGTTGTAGGAAACTCATTTTAATTAAAATGTTTGAAATTTATAACATTTGTTTAAATTAATACCTTATAATTTGATACTTCATTATGGTTGTTCTATTTTTGGTAAGATTTGATCATTCACTAAAAATTTAATAAAAGTGCGACAACATTGTCGCATATGTCGTTTTTCATTGGATATTTATGTAGTTTGAAAATCACTTATTGCACTTTAAAAAAATATATATAAAGGGTGTAATATTTAATACGAATCCCCAAATTAATTTTTCCAAAGCCAGTCCTGGAATTTTTTAGTTTAGCTAATACCAGTCGAATGCTTGATAGTAGTGTACTGTATCATGCAAAAATTAAAAAAATCAAATGAGCCGTATAAACACTACAGTAAAATGAAATAAATGGTCAATTACACAAATCATCCTGTTAATTAATAAAGAAGAGGAGTTGACATTTTTTAGTGGCCACATTATATACTCCCTGAGGGACTTACATATGGTAGAAGTATGTAAAGTTCCTCATGACTCACCCTGTATATTGTTTTTACGATTTCTCTAGCGTCAGCAGATAAATGCTTTTTCTTTGCTGGAACACTGGAAGAATCACCATCAATGTTTTTCCACGGACGCCACATATTGCTGTTTTATGGGTATAAATAGGTATAACACTGGTAACACTTGTAACACTTTCAACTAAATGAAACAAAATGTATATTTAAAAATTTCTTATCGGTACGACAACCATTGATAGTGAAACTCACTGTTAAAATGTTTACAACTTTATGAAATAAAATGTATTCTAATCGTTTTTATAATTTTATACGATTTTTTAATCGTTTTTATATTACCAGGAATTTATGATACAAACAAGATAACGACACTCAAGCTTCAATTTTACCTGAATACTTACCTGCTCAACTAATGTTGACTAAGCTGGGGTATATTCCAATCATTAAGCACTCAACCATTTTTCGTGAAATAAACTATATGACATGGGTCTGTCTTTTATTTACATGAATTATAAATCTGTATTAAAATTTGAAATCGTCTAGACAATGGTCTACTATATTGATTTTTTTTTTTTTGTTATTTGCCAAAACCGATCGATGGCAGCAATTATTGGTATTATTATGGAATAAATGTTATGAATGGAAAATATTTTTATAAATTTTATTATTCATTCATATTAGTCAAACGGTCTATGCTCATTGTATCATTTAACATTGTTTGTCTAGCTTTGTATGTGTATACAAATAATACTTTTTTTTTAATTAGGAGGGTTAAAAGATAATTGACATTTAATTTGATTTATGTGTATACTACTTAATACTAACTGTTCGTATATTTTAGTGATTTTAAAAAGTTTTACTCAATTACATCCTGTTATATAAAATACTTTTTGATAATTTTAGTCGAAGTCACACAATTCTAAGTGTTAATATAACCTCAGAACAGCCCACTGAAGGTGGTGTATTTATTTCTCGATCTGGAAAAATTAATTTCGTTGACTTAGCTGGTAGCGAAATGACCAAAAAAACCCAAAGCGAGGGTAAAACTTTAGAAGAAGCTAATAATATTAACAAGAGCCTAATGGTACTAGGTAAGTAATGTGAAATTTATTATGTAATAAAAATATTTCTAAAACATAAAAATTCTTAAATAAATTATAAGTTTTTTTTTATAAATTTATATTTTCTCTATTACATTTTCTCTTATATTAGATCTAACAAACGACTTATGAATCAAAACAGCTAATAATTAAAAAAGGACAATTAAACTATCTTCCCAGTTTTTTTTTTGTCAATATGAATTTTTCTATAATTTCTTCTCAATTTATCGAGCGCTTTGTTCAAGCTTACATTATATTTCTGTAATTTATCTTGTAGTCCGATCGTCCTTTCATCTTTAAAAACGAGATGAAGAAACTGAATTTTGCTGAGAAGGCCATTTTTTAACCCCAATTTAACCCCATTTTTTTGCCACTCCTACCCCCGGACGTCCCTCTACAACCCAAAATCAATTTACCAAGAATCTCTACGCCGTATAAAAAATCTATTAAACAAGAAATGTGGTTAAAATAATTTTTTTAATAAATATAATAATGATCTGTTAAATAAAGTGTTAATTAGCACTTTTTGTGTAGAATACAGGGTTCTCTCATAAACAACGCGCAGTTACGCGCGCGAAATCAGTTTTTTTAATCAAATTTGTATCAACTAGACGGTAAAAGGGGCGATATGCGGATCCGATCATACTCTCCTCGTAGCCAAAGTAATGCTTAAACTTAAAGCACCCAACAAACAAAGAGAGATAAAGAGGATAGAACTAAGAAAGAAAGACGACCTTCTACAGGAAGTACAGAAAAGTATGCCCTCTATTCGTAACGGAACATCACAAGAAATATGGGAGACTGTTAAACATTGCTTAACAACACCAGTGGATCGCTCAAAGAAAAATAATCCGGTGAAACGGAAACACTGGATAACAGATGAAACTCTTAAAATAATTGAGAATAGAAGAAATCTTTGTAAAAGTGGTGTACATAGTGAAAGGGAAAAAGCTAGTTTAAGAAACCTCAATAAAGAAATAAAACGAAGATGTAAGGCCGACAAAAAACAGTACTATCAAAGTATATGCAAAGAAATTGAGAGACATGGTTAGAATAATCAGCCGAGAGATCTATTTAGAAAAATACGATACCTGACAAGAGACTTCAGAGCCAGAACTTGGGCCATTAAAGATAACACTGGAACCCTGAGAACAAACAGAGAAGACATAGCAAAAACATGAAGATCGTATTGCAGGGACCTATATAAAGATGATCAAGAGCTTGTTAGCCAAATCTCTGACGAGGTGGAAGAAAAACCTGATATACTCGAAAATGAAGTAAGACAGGCTATCAACAAGCTCAAATATAACAAAACACCAGGTCCAGATATGATAACAGCAGAAATGCTTAAAGCCACAGAAGAAATCGGCGTAAAGTTACTTCATCTACTCTGTAACCAAATATGGCATTCCAAACAATGGCCTGAAGACTGGACAAAATCTACAATAACGACCATACATAAAAAGGCAGCTTCCATAAATCCGACAATTATAGAACTATCTCTCTTATATCCCATGCCAGCAAGATAATTTTACATATAATCAATGAGAGACTGAAAACATTCCATCAAAGAGAAATTCCACAAGAGCAAACTGGATTTACCAAAGGTAGAGGCACTCGAGAACACCTGCTGAATATAAGACAGATAATTATCACTATTAATAATATAAGACAGATAATTATACAGATTATAATCGAGAAATCTAGGGAATTCAACATCCCACTATACATCTGTTTTATAGATTACCGTAAAGCGTTCGACAGGGTCAAGTGGAGACACTTATGGCGAATACTAAAAGAAGTAGGTGTACCACAACATCTAATTACGCTTATAACCGAACTATATGAACACACTACTGGATCAGTTAAAGTACTTGACACACTTTCGAACGAATTTCATCCAGAACGAGGTGTCAGACAAGGATGTATACTATCTCCACAATTATTCAACATATATGGGGAGTATATTATGCGAAGAGCACTTGAAGGATGGGAAAAGGGCATCTCAATAAATGGTCATAAACTAAACAACCTACGTTTCGCAGATGACACAGCCCTTCTTGCAAATAGTCAAGTAGAGCTGATAGAACTTATACGACTGATCGAAAACGAAAGTCAAATATTTGGTCTGCAATTAAACATATCAAAGACAACGATCATGATAGTGGATAGACTACACAACAATCATCCACACATAACCACAATTGACCGGTTCGAGGTTGTGAGCTCATACTTATATCTGGGATCATTAATCACAAACACAGGGTCATCACAAGAAGAGATTAAACGTAGATGTGATCAAGCAAAAGTTGCCGCATCAAAAATGACCAAAATATGGAAGGACTGTCAAATTTCAAGAGCGATAAAGATGAGGTTGATTAACTGCTTAATATTCCCAATACTGACCTACGGATGTAAATCTTGGACTCTGAGACAATCGGAGAGAAGAAAGATAGACGCCACTGAAATGTTCTGTTGGAGACGAATGTTACGAATTTCTTGGACCGACCGTAGAACAAATAATTCAATTTTAAGAGAACTAAAAGTTAGCCAACGACTCTAATAAAGTCCATCTTCAACAATTAAAATATTTTGGGCATGTTATGAGAGCAAACACAGAAAACATGGAAAGACTCGTAATACAAGGAAAGGTAGAAGGCCGAAGATCACGAGGAATATCCCCAACAAGATGGATAGATCGAATTACAGGAATATGCCAAAGATCTATGCATGAATTAAAAGAAATGACCAGAGACAGAGATCTCTGAAGACAGACAATACACGACATCACGTCGACTACTACACTCCCCCTGGGGGGTCAGGATTGAAGAGAGAGAGAGAGAGAGAGACGGTAAAAATTCTATAGCTCTTAATCAGCTTGTCCTATCGACAAAAATCAAAATGCGTTTTAAAGGTAAAGGGTAGTTTTCATATACAATTTTTGCATTTTGCCAACAAAAGCTATTAAATAAATAAACTTTGCGCTATATTTACCATTTTTTACGATTCTTATGAGATCAATAAAATTTATCACATTTATCACACTATGAAATTTTCATTCATTTCAAAAACTATAACATGAAATTTCATATACCTAAAAACGCTGAATTTAAACTAAATAAATTTTTAGCTGAAGGTATGTAGTTTTGAAAAAGAAATTTGTGGAATTGAAAAGAAGCAGTTTTAAACGTTTCAGATCCTTGACCTAGCTTGAAGCATGAGGTCACTAATTGGACTGCCAACCCTCGAAGACTAGACAACCATAAAAATACGGCTTTAGAAATCTGTTCGTATTCTTCTTTCTTCATATTTTTCCGCAACAAATCACTTCCACCACTCACACTTTTATTATCGCATTGTTCAATATCTTTTTGTTTACGTCTTTAATCTCCCAGTCACTTCTAAAACACATAAGTCAGCAGAAACCTTCTTTACTGACTTAGGCCGTCCGTACACGGGTCGACGCTCGAAGTGGTCGACTTGATTTCAATTGCGTAGGTCTCTCCCCACCGCCCAAAATCCTTCGTTATTGCATTGAGCTCCGCAGATGGGGCGTTTAGTGGTCGTCTAGAATTGCAAATCTCCTCGTCTTGTACGATACTTGTCACATGTGATCGGTAGCGCACGAGAAAGTTCGAGTAAGACGCACTTTTTCAGTCATGAGGATAAGATTATTGTATTTGCGTTCTTCGTTATTTATTGTTTTTTGCCCTAAAATAATTTTTTTAAGATCGACGAATAATATGTTCGTTGTTTGTAGTACTACTAGCTTTGTAGAAATATATTGTTTGTAATACAAAATTCTGAAAATATTGAATTTCTGTTTCTAGGTGTTTAATATAAAATTCGTTGGGAAGTGTAAAAATACACTCAATTGTATACTTATACAATGAAAGAATATGCCAATATGTAAACTGAATCAACTAGTGTGCGGTAAACAATCGCTCATGCAGCAGGGTACGTGCAAGACGATCACGACGCATGAACTTAGACGCGTGCCTTCGATCGACCAATGTGCGAAAGGCCTAACCCTTATCCAAGGGTTTTATAGGACTTAATTTTGTTTCTAATGAAACCACAACTCGTTTACGTTTTAAATTCATATTGCACTTCAAGTTACCTAGAAACTACAAAGGGAAGACATGAATGAACTTGTAATAGCTTACAGTGAGATAAACCGAACAACGAGTTGTATTGTCTCAAACTGACGGGTGGGGAAGTGGGTGGGGAGGCGGCCAGTAGAAGCATACTGTGTAGAACAATAACACTCGCTAGTAACTCATCTCTTCAGCGTACCAACACCAACAGAAAGTGCACACGCTTTCACTTAATATCTGTTTATCTAACATAAATTCGCAAAACTCCATCCGCCTAAAGTTATCTTCTGGAAACAGTTCTTGTATTGGTTGTATCTTAAAACAGTGATACCCATTCCTTTTGAGAACTCGCTGGACAGTTCAAGCGTTCACGTTAACTTTCCTAGAAATTTGTACACTATTGTAGGGTTCACTAGCTTCCACAAAAGCACAAATATCAATATCCCTGTTTTGACGCTCCCCATTGACAGGTCTACCACGTGGTTCATTACCTTTATGACACTTTTTACAACTGTTTACACAACCCGAAGTTTGAAAATGTTTAATGGTATTTTTAACTGTTGTAACACTTGGTGGGGGTCTATTTTTGAAGGCAAAAATAAATAAATCAATTATATTACTTATGGAATGACCCTGAAAGTATCATGTTACAAGTTGCACTTTTTATGGACGGTATACAACGTAATTATTGGACGGTATACAATTGCCTATTAAGGCATTTTATGAATTATTTGTTTGCTCTTTCAAAACTTCGTTTGAAATTTTTAATGTCAATGTGACATTTACGACAATTCGTACCTACTGTAAAAAGAATATAGAGGTGGAAACTTGTAACATGTCACAGCGACTACCATTGTGTTGTATGGTTAATAAAACAATGTCGTGATCTGTATA